CTCTGAATAGATTGTTTTGAAAAGCTGAAAATATTCAAATAGCTGGAGTCTTCAGATTCAATTTTTCAATAATGCACCACAAACAAATCCTCTGTGGTCCACTCTGATGTAGTTCCTCTATTCACTTGAGGCAGTATGGGAACCAGGGGACCCCAGCCTAGAAAATCATCAGAATCCCCGGGAGATATATTCCAAAGAAACGACTGAGAAGCGGGACTTCATTGAAATTCAAACCTTCTGCTCTGCTCTGCTCTTGACATTGTCAATAGAATAAGAAGGCAAGTAGAGAAGATCAAAGAGGGCAAGTAAGCATATGAAAATACGTTCAACATCATATGTCATCAGGGAAATGCAAATTAAAACAACAATGAGATACCACCATACACGTATTAGAATGGCCAAAATCCAAAACACTGACAACACCAAATATTGGCAAGGATGTGGAGCAGCAGGAACTTCTTATAAAACCAAACATACTCTTCCCATACAACCCAGCAATTGTGAGCCTTAGTATTTGCCCAAATGAATTGAAAATTGATGTCCACACAAAAACCTGCACAGGGATTAGTATGGCAGCTTTATTCATAATTTCCAAAATTTGGATGTAACCAAGAAGTCCTTAAGGAGTTGAATGGATGAAGAAACTGTGGTACATCCATATAATGGAATATTATTCAGCACTAAAAGAAATCAACTCCCAAGCTATGATGGAGATATGGAGAAAATTTAAAGACTTATTTATTTATTTGAGAGAGAGAAAAAAAACAATGAGCAGGCGAGAGGCTAAGAGAGAGACAGAGAAGCAGACTCCGTGCTGAGCGTGGAGCCCAACATGGGGCTTGATCTCACAACCCTGAGATCATGACCCGAGCTGAAATCAAGAGTCGGAGACTTAACCGACTGAGCCACCCAGGTGCCCTTATATGGAGAAAATTTAAATGTGTATTGTTAAGTGAAAGAGACCAATCTGAAAAGGCTATATAATATATGATTCCAAAAATAGTGGCATTTCAGAAAAGGCAAAACAACAGAGATGGTAAAAAGATCAGTGGTTGCCAGGGGATAAGAGGAGGAAGGGAGAGATGAATGGACAAAACACAAAGGATTTTTAGGGCAATGAAACTATTCTGTAGGATACTACATCGGTGGATACATGTAATTATACATTTGCCCAAATCCATAGGCTGTACAACACCAAGAGTGAACCTTAAACTATGGACTTTCAGTAATAATGACGTGTGAATGTAGGTTTATCAATTGTTAACAGATGTACCGCTCTGGTGAGGGATGTTGGTAGTGGAGGAGGTTGTGCATACGTGGGGGCAGGGGGCATCTGGGAACTCTCTGTACTTTCCAGTTTTGCTATGAGCCTAAATCTGCCCTAAAAATTAAAGTTTATTATTTATATATATGATATGTATATTCATTCCCAGGACATATTCTAGACCTGTTGAATCACAATCCCCAGTGAATAGCCCAGGTTTTTTGGGGTGTGTGTGTGTGTGTGTGTGTGTGTTTAATTTCAGGAGATTCTGATGATAAACCAGGGTTAGGAACAAGTAGAAGAGGAAGGAGCATGGGATTTGGAAATGGGTTCAAACCTGAGTTTGAATTCTAAATTTGCCATTTTCTAGATGTGAAACCTTGGACAAGTTATTAACCTCTCGACAATGGGGGGATCATCAGAGTTCCCCACAGGGTTCACAGGAGGATTGAACCAGATGACATATTGTGACCCTGGGAATGACAGACAAGGGCAACTGTAAAGGCTCATGAGCCTCATCACCAGGAAGAACTAGATCCTGAACCAAGTCCAGGAAATGGCACAAACACTTCCTTGTCCACCCGTCAGGCCCTGAATACCCCCCTTTGGTCACTGCTAATTCTCCTTCCCACAGGTGCCTGGATAGCTCTTTCCTTTTGGTCTCCATTCCCCACAGGTTCTGATCTGATCGGCTGCTACCTCTCATGCCAACAGGTCCCATTTGCCCAGCAGAGAAGAGAGCCAGACACACCTCTCTCTTACTAGTCCTCATCACCTCTCATGACATCCTTGCGCAGTTCTTATGCTAAAACCCCCACTTTCTCCACCTAAGGTGAGAATGGAATAGGGAACCACTTTCTACCACAAATGCAAATTGTCTGGCACAGGCACATGTCTAAACTAAAGATTATTTGTCTCTCCTCCCTGTCTCCAAATGCGTTGCCCTCGTTTTTGTCCTTGTTTGGTGAGCTTTGGGCTGTACCAGCAGAAAGGAATGTGGGTTGTTCTCCCTAGAACAGCTCAGGCCCAGGCCCAAAGACCAGGGAATTGTTCTACAGAGAAGTAGCAGGAGGCACAGGTCATGCTCGCCATGAGTGCTGGCTGCTCAGCATCCATTTCCCTGTCTCCTTCCTCTCTCTTTTCACTCTGGTCACCTTGAAAGCCAAGCTGGCTTCCAGGTCTACCCCTTGATAATGCAACCCATCAGACTAAAAATGAAAAATAATTTCAAAATAAATCATCATTTGCCTTTAGCATTGGACTGAGGTGGGAGGGGTGCTCACACTGTTTGCTGCAGCGCGGTGTCCTCCTCACTTTCCTCCTACTTCTCGAAACATCTCTTCTCCGTGTCCTTGGCCAGCTTGTCCCCATCCACCAGCTTCTCAGGTTGGAGCTCCTCAAGTCTTCAGTCCTTGGCTCTGCTCTTTTCACTCTCGACCTTACGGTCAAGATGGTCTGACCATGACTATGGTTTCAGTTATTCTCTACTCAGGGATGATCCCCAAATATGCATCTCTAGCACAGACCTCTCCTGTGAGCTCCATGCCTGTATATCTCATTATCTACTCAACATCTACACTGGTAGGCCTCAAAGGCATCTCAACCTCAACCTGCTCTAAACTGAATCTGTATCCTCCTGTGATATCTCATTCACATCTGGCCTTCCCTAGGGTTCCCATCTCAGTGAATGATAACACTATCCATCCTTTGTATTTGGAGGCCATTTGGACCCTTCACTGTTCCTCACCAACTATAACAAATCTTGTTTGGTCAGTTTTAAATATTTGTAGAGCCCATTGATTTCCTCCAGGAGCCCGGAGCCCATCACTGTTGTCCCTCCTAACTGCCCTCACCGCATCAGGGATTGCTCTTCTCTAGTTTCCACAGTGCAGCTAGAGTGATCATTTTTTAAAAGCAAATGTAATCATGTCACTACTTTGCTTGATATATGTCAATGGCTGCCCATTGCTCTTAAGAAGACCAACATCTTTAGAAGCTCCATCAGGCCCTGTAAGACCTTGCCCCTGCCTACTACCTCTCCAGCCTCATTTGAGCAGTTCTTCCCTTTACTCCGAACTGCAGTCAACTGACTTCCTGCAGTTCCCTCAACAGATCCTGCTCTTTTCTACCTGGGGTGTTTGTGCATGTTATTCCCTCTATCTGGAACACCTTAGTCCCCTAAAATTTCCTGAATGTCCAACTTCGGCTAGCAATTACTTCCTCAGGAAACTTTCTTGGACTGCCCCCTTACTCCTCCCCCCTTGCGCTAATTTTCTAGGGCTGCTGTAACAAAGTACAACAAACTGTGGGGCTTAAAACAATAGAAATGTATTATCTCACAGTCCAGATGCAGGAAGTCCAAGATCAAAGTGTTCGCAGGGTTGGTTCCTTCTGAGAGCTGAGCAGAAGAAGGATCTGTTCCATGTCTCTCTCTTAACTTCCAGTGGTTTCCTGGCAATCTTTGTCACTCCTTGGCTTGTAGAAGCATCACCCCGATCTCTGCCTTCATCTTCACATGGTGTTGTCCCTGTGAACATACAAATTTCCCTTTTTTAATGAGGACACCAGACATATTGGATTAAGGGTCACCCTGCTTCAGTATGACCTCATCTTTAATTACATTTGCAAGGACCCTATTTCCAAATAAGGTCACATTCTGAGATTATGATTATGGGGGTTAAGACCTCAAGATATGAATTGGGGTGGGGGGCACAATTCAATTCATAAACACCCTCCATTCCCAATGTGGAGTTCTCTGGTTATATACTGTCATTGTCCTACCCTGTAGACTTTTTCTTCAAAGCACTGATCACAGTTGGTAATTATCAATGAATAATCATACAAGCAAAATGTATTTGTTCCCCCACCAATTATAAGCTCCATAGGGACCATGTTTGTTGACAACTGCACCCCCATGCGTGGCACACACTAGCTGTCCAGTATATACTCACTGAGTGAATAGATAAATTCTACGGCCCTCCAAGGTCCCTGCCCGCATGTCAGTGTGGAGAGACCCACCTTTGTCTCCCAGGCCTGCTCAACTACTGCCAGAGCATTAAGTCATCCGAGGCAAGTAGGGCTAAAGGCAGACCCACTGGTTCATCATTGGCTTACCAGTCTTAATGACCCTTTGAAACGCTTAACATGATCTCCCCCATAAAGACAAGCCCCGGCTAGAAAAAAAAAAAAAAAAGGCAAACAAAATAAAACAAAAAAGACCACATCTAAGATTTGTAAGCCCACTGCACTTTCATTTTAAATGCGCCTCCTGGGTGCCAGTGATTATTATGGAGAAGGCTGAGGGAGCTTCTCTGGAGAGCTTAATACAGGTCACTTCCCTAAGGACTGGAAGGGTCCACTGGGTGGTTAAGGAATGAATAAAACAAATTCCTGGTGCCTCTTTCATCTCTAATACTCTAAGCCCCTAGTTGTCTGATAACTTTGGACTCGGTCCGTCGATGCAGACAGAAAAGGATTCTTAGCGTTTTGACTCTCTGACCAATATTTAGATCAATAAGTCCCTGGCAGCAGTGCAATAGAACAATAAAGAACCCAGATGAGTTGAAAAGTCTTTTGCACTGATACGACCACAGTCCTGTTGAATTCGCCTTCCCTATGTGCTCTCAGGAATAAGTGCTGCTTTGGCAAAGTATTAAGATAGTTTAATGTCTGGCTTTTATGTTTCATCATCTCATGGCATGAGGAATGCTGAATGCTCTAAATGTTGGACTTCTAGAAGCTTGAACCCATTGACCTGCCACAAGTAATTACTTCTGAAATGCTCCTGAGCCAGCAAGAAGCCAGAACAACTCACAAAGCAAAGGTGAACTGCAGCACTCACTGGAGGGGGTGGGTAACGGGGGCGGGGGGGGCGCTCTCCTTTTCATATACTGCTTGCACAGAAGACCTCAAAGCCAAATCTGACTATGACGTCACTCAGCGTTAGGACCTTCCAGAGCTATCCATTCTCTCCTGGGCCTGCCTCCAGCTGGCAAAGACTCTTGTCTCTGAGGTAAACTCTGGGCCCTTCTCCACTTCCTGGTGAAAACAGGGAGATGCAGATAAGAGAGAGGAATTTTACTTGGACATTGGTAATTCTAGAAGTGTTCAAATTTATGAAAAATCTGGCAAAATTCTTTCTTTTTATTCTTCTCCTCAGGTTAAACCTTTCTCCTCAGTCTCAGTTTTCAGGGGAAATCACTTCTACGAGGTGTTCCTAACTTATTTACCATCACCTCCCCAAAAAGGAATCCTTGGAAAAGGTCTTCTGAAGAGCTTTTTCCTTGTATTCATTCGTCAGCTTCTGCTGAGAAAACGCCCCTCGTGTAGACGTGAAAACTGGGAGGTAGTAAACTTTCAACACTTTCCACTCCTGCTTCATTTTGGAACCAGCTAGGCTGCACACCTGGCTGATTTGGTAAAAGAGGTCAAGGCCAGGTGTGCAATGCTGGCAGAACTGTAGAGATGGTCCCCTCAGGAGGCTCGCAGCAGCCAACACAGTCCCTGTCCACAGGGCAGCAAAAAGGTATCACGGAGCACATCTGGCTGCCGTATCCCTTCCCTCTCCTGGCCACAGCAAGGGGCGAACAAAGGTGTTTTCACCCCGGTTGCCCTTAATAACTGTCTGCACTGTCCCCCTGGGGTTTATGCTGCACCAGGGGAGATCACCAAAGTCACAAATAATCAACCTCCTAATATACCAGGACTTATATTGGCATATGGAGGTACAGGCTACAGAAATGGGTTCCATTTAGCCATTCAGTGGCTCCCCTCCAATGCCATGGCCAGACAATGGCAGAAGAGGCTGGAAGGAAGAGGCCAATCTTATCCAACCAGAACATATTTCTGGGGAGATAGTGATAAGCATCTATTGACAGGGTAAGCGATAGTTCATCACAATGAGATGTGGAAACATAGTTCCATTTAAGGTGTGCAAAACTCTACAGGAGCCTTAGAAACTATGTTATACGCACAGCAAAGTTCCATTCACGGAGAGCTACACAAAGGACTCAGTGGGGAGCTACAACGATCCACCTTTGACATCGCAAGAGATCTCGATGGATTATAACTGATGGCTGATGAAGATCTCACTCTGTTCCAAAAAAAAAAAAAAAATTTAAAGTTGTGGATTGCAGAGTCAGTAACAAATTACCCCATTCTAACGAGTGTGTCATCTTTCGCAGCTGGAACTGGAAAAGAAGATGCAAACTCCAGGGTACACTCCCGGGAAAAGACAATATTTACATAAGATGCAAATGCTGGAAATGAACCGTAACAGACAAGAGGTAAGTATGAGAAGAGAGGAGTGTCATATTTACCACGTTTACTCCACGTCATCACTGCCCTCGCACTTGAATGGTTTAGCATCTGTCCCCAGGCTTTACTTATTTTAAATTTGGTCATTGGCACCGAAGCCTCAACTACTGGAATTGGGAAACATCAGCAAGATCCCTTCTGCCACCAACCCTGTTGAGCCTTTTCTTTGTTTTCAATCACAAGGATGAATCTGTGTCCCAAGTCTCTCTGTTCTTGCTTTCCTCTTTTTCTTTTTCCTCTTCACAAATTGCTCCCATGACATTCTGGCTCCAGCAGGAAAATGAGGTGAGATCACTTGTCTCAGTTTAGGAGATTAGAGGGGGGTGAGTGGGTCTTTATTTTGATACCTAGGCATCCTCCATACTGCACACCATGGGATTATCCTACAAGAACCATCTCTGGTAACAAACCCCTTTACAGTCATGTCTCCTGTAATTGTCATATTCCATTCCTCACTCTGGAATTTAAGCCTAAAGTCACTGTCTTCTGCAATCCCAAGTATATCGGTGGCCTACCAACAAATGTTTTTACAAAGGTCCTCCTCTTAAATCAAGCCATGCCTTTTTGAGACTGTGGGCATACTCTCCTCTCTCCTAACAAGCCTGTGCCTAGAGAAAGTTTCTGTACCTTCTAATAGGAAAAAGAAAACTGTGTTCTGGTTAGGGGACCAGAATACACATAAGCACACAACTTGCAAAGTGGCTGATCTGGTGACCTATTCTGGTGACAGGAGCTCAGGGGGGAGAACACTAATCCATTATAGCTGATCATTTTCAGAAGAAGAGTCTTCACAGGGAGGCAAGAATTAATAAGCAAAAACCGAGGGACCGTAAAGCCAAGAAAATCCTTCAAAGCATCCCAAGACATGACAGGGGTCTTCCAACCTTGTTGCCGGATGAAACCTTGAACAGAAGAAGTCCAGGTCAGTCATACAAATTTTTTTAGCAGAATAAAATATTTCAGGTGTTTTTAAAATTTCATCAAATAAACTTCCTGTGCGGGGAGGGGGGTGGAGGGACAGCAAGTAGCCTTGGGTTTCTGCTGCTAATGTACTTCCTGGAAAGTAGGGATCGCACTGTCATGTAATTTGGAGTGGCTGGGAGGAAAAGACAGAAGCTCAAACACTGTAGGAAGATGTCTCTTTTCAGAGGTCTCCCGGGCTTCACGGGCATTCTGGCCATGCCTGCTCCATCCGTAGGAAGAGGAGAGGCAAAAGAGCCTCAGCTTGTGGTTAAAGAGAATGAAGCACGTGGACTTCTATTAAATAGCAACCCGGTATCAGTCAGTCTGCTGCCCTCTGTAGACACCTGCCGCCATCCCGCTTCTCCCCCGCCAGCCCGCCGAAGCTCATTCGGACCGTCTAAAACTGAAGCCAGCATCACGGCCCACCGCAGGCTTGCTCCTGCTGCATCTGCAGGAGTGGGTGAGCCCTCCACGCTCTCAGGCCAGAGACCTGAGGCCTTTCCAGGCCTCCTCCTCCCTGCAGCTGGTCAGTCACAACGTCCTGTCATGTCACCTGGCACATTTCCACATTCCCAGTGCCACCCGCAGGGCATTGTGTCACACCAGGGCTGTGGCTCCAACCTCCTGACTGTGTTCCTCCCTCAAGTCTCGCCCTGCTTCCATCAGCCCTCTGTCCTGATGGTTCTTGGGACCGTCCCCAGGCCAGCAGCCCCAGCATCACCCCGCGGCGTGGCTGGGTCCCAGCCAGAGTGATTGAATCAGGAAATGTAGGGGCAGAGGCCAGCCATCTGGGTTTAACACCCCCTTAGGTGATTCTGATACCCTTAAAGTTTAAGAACCACAGCTCTACTTGGTAATCAAAGTATTGGCCACAGACCAGCAGCATCTCCGTCACCGGGGAGTTTATTAGAAATGCAGAATTTCAGGCCACACTCCGGACCTACTGAACCATTTTATCAAGATGCTGAGGTGATTCTCATGCACGATCATTTCAGAAGCACAGAGCTAATAGCCAAGTAATCTTATAAAATGCCAATCTGACCATATCATTCTCTTGCTTAAAAAAAATCCTCAGTGAGGGGCGCCTGGGTGGCTCAGTCTGTTAAGCGTCTGCCTTTGGCTCAGGCCATGATCCCAGGGTCTTGGGATGGAGCCCCACGTGGGGCTCCCTGCTCAGTGGGGAGTCTGCTTCTCCCTCTGCCCCTCCCCCTGCTCATGCTCTCTCTCTTGCTCTCTCTCTCAAATAAATAAAATCTTAAAAAAAAAAAAATCCTCAGTGAGCCTCCATCAGCCTGAGGACAATCTAAACTCTTTACCCTGGGGGCACCTGGGTGGCTCACTCAGTTGAGCATCTGACTCTTGATTTCAGCTCAGGTCATGATCTCAGGGTCGTGAGATGGAGCCCCGCATAGGGCTCCACACTGGGCATGGAGCCTGCTTTAACTTCTCTCCCTCCCTCTCCTTCTGTCTCTCCTCCCTCTAAAAAATAATAAGTAAATAAAAATTTAAAAAATAAGCTCTTAATCCTGGTACTCTAAGCCTTTAGGATCTACTTGTTGCCTACCCTTGTGGCGTCTCTGCTGCCATTCTTGTGCCCGCCTTTGCCTCCAACCAGGCCAGACTACTCCGTGATTTCCAACAGACATCCTGTTCATAGCCTCTGTGCTGTGTGGTTCCACCAGTTGCAGCCCCATTAAGTTTGCCAGGTCCATATCCCCCCAGGGCAATGGGGGGGATATTTGGATGTATAATCTTGGTCACACGCACAGTTTGCTGTGCCGTGAGCCAAATCCCCACATCAGCAGGACTGACCACTGAGAGATCTACAGAAATGCCATGTCTCTGGACGTCCTGAGCTTCTCAGATGCAAAGTTGCCAGGTGAAAGAGACACTGCTCCTGCTCGGAAGAACAGGATGCTTAATAAGTTAACTAAATAAGAAGAGGCTGAATAATTGAACATCTACTTGGGGAATCTATTGAACCTATACTCCCAGTGCCAGAATGAAATATGCTATGTGCACACAGAGATAAACAACTTTTACAGTTTAGAACCTATTGCCAAAACAACCCCCAAAAGTGTCTCAGCTTAAGTTAGATACTTAGAGTCGTTGCTTGAGGGCAAGCCAAGAAAAACCAACATTGGTAAAATCTTTGGAAGATGCCCCAGATCTGGAGGCGCCCAGGAAAGATGGTGGCATACAGAAGAGGGTTTCTCTGCATTCCTGATGCTTTTTACAGCTGCTTCATTTTGTTGTAGTCAAGGTTTAAAAATTGATTGATTGATTTTAGAGAGAGGGAGAGAGCACGGGAGTGCGGGGAGGGGCAAAAGGAGAGGGAGGGAAAAATCTCAAGAAGACTCCGTGCTGAGTGTGGAGCCGGACTTGGGACTTGACCTCACCACCCTGAGATCATGACCTGAGCCGAAACCAAGAGTCGGACGCTTAACTGACTGAACCACCCAGGCTCCCCTCTGGTTAAGGTTTGTTGAGTGCTTGCTTGTTGCACCTCCTTGTTGTGAAGGAGTTAGTGCTAGCTCTCAGGTGACAGAGCCAGAGTTCAACGCCAGGTCTTTCCGACTCCAAAGGCTCACTCCACCACCCCCACCCCTCCTATACCCTCATCAGGAATCCAGGGACTTGGAGCTCTGTCCAGGACAACCTTGGCAAAGTCTGCAAATAGAGGGGAGGGGCTCCTCAACCTTGGCCGCCCCTCTGCCAAGCCCACAGATTTCACCACCGCAATAGGCATGTGCTCAAGCAATGATTCCTTTTTCCTTATTCCCAGGTAGCATCTTTGCTTTCTCTCTCTGTCTACTAAAAGCAGTTCATTTTGCTTTCTCCTGAAAGTGGGGCAAAGTCAAGATCATAGATTTACAGGAGCTTTCTGCTAGTCCAGTTCTGGTCACTAAGATTCTGCTGTACCCACCTCCTCTTATTTAATGCTATATTTGCCCATTCTTGTTCCCTCTTTGGGAAGGTGGGATGAGAGTTTTAGGTCTCTTATAAGATAAAGGTTGGTCTTTGTTTTCTGCCGCCTCTTTAAAATGAAATTTTACATATACCTTACATTTACCCACTTCAAATACATTTCATGTCTATTTATATAATGAATTACACATGACTTGTATAATTGTATGATAAATACATACAACTTATACAATAAGTTACTTATAATTTATATGATGGCTCACTTGTTCCTAACTTACACAAAGTGAACATTGTTCTATGGGTGTACAATTTCATGAAATTTAACATGTTTATGTGGCTCCTGCCTTTTCCAGAAGCCGTGATCTAGTATAAGGTCGTGGGTAGAAAAAGCAGTGAACTTGAAATCAAAGTTCTTCATTTGAGCCCCAAGAAATACATTTCTAAATGTAAACTCCATGGGAGCTTTTGTTTCCAGAACAGTGCCTGGTACACGGTAGCCTCTCAATAAACATTAGCTATATATTTTTCTAGATAGCTTTATCAAAGACATATCTCTTTCAGGTGGCAACTTTGCATCTGAGAAGCTCAGTACCTCCAGAGACATGGCATAAATCAAAGTTCTTCATTTGAGCCCCAAGAAATACATTTCTAAATGTAAACTCCCTGGGAGCTTTTTGTTTCCAGAACAGTGCCTGGTACACGGTAGCCTCTCAATAAACATTAGCTGTATATTTTTCTAGATAGCTTTATTCTACATATAGACAGAGATTAGCTGTCTAACTAGCTAAGCTCCAGTTGCTTGACCTCTCTGAACCTCAGTCTCCACATCTGTAAAACAGGAATAAAGCCTTGCCTGCCATGTAGGGTTTATGGAAAAATTAATCCAATAGGTGTAAAAGCACATCAAGATGTAAAGCGCCAAGCCCGTGCGTGGAAATAGCGGCAACTGAAGAAAGATGGGACTGAGGTCCTTATAGTGAAAATCACTGTCTACTTCAGGGCAAGCGGCACCTTGGAAACATTGTCACCTTCACAATCCTGGTCTTTTTGGGCCACCCGCACCACTATCTACTTAGTATTGTTCTTTAAAGTATCCTGAGGGTTTGTGTGTATGTGTGTGTGTGTGTGTCTGTTTTAAATTCAGCCTTGTCTATGAAATAAGTGTGGAATTACGGGTTTGATGGAATGGTGATACATTTCGCTAAAACATACATATATTATAAAATACATAACCATCAGACATTTTTAACACTTTAGAGAATCCTTGAACTACCTGAAATCACTCCCTATTTTCCCCCCACTGGTCTCTGTTGCTTTTCTCTCTTCCCAAATTAATTTTGAAGTTGGACACACTCTCCTCTGCTCTGCTCACCCAAAACCCATTTAGGTTTTTCAACGTATTTTTCTTTTTCTTTTTCCTTAAGTCTAGCAACCCCAGAGAATCAAGCAGGGATTTATAAAAATGTAACAAGTAAAAAGACATCTAGCTGAGAAGTTCTTAAACTTTAATGCTATGTATACAAAACTATAGTACATAATACTTTATGAATGATTTAAGAGAGATCCAAGGATAAAATAGACCATGTGAATTTGGCTTCACGCACTAACTTTAGACCTGTGTTATCATAGCATCAAGAGCAGGGTGGGACTTAAGCTGTTATTAATATTGCATTAGACTCCACCATTAACAAACATTCTCTTCCTGTTTCAAAGCTCCTGCCTCTAGTCTGCAAATTGCTGTTCCCAGTCTGCACGATGCCTCTAGTAGTTCTTGGCTCATTGGCAGAGTAGAAATGGTTACACCCCCTGGCCCCAAGGAATGAAGTCTTTCCCAGTCCTAGTTACCAATACTTCTCGCCTCCCCAAATTCTCCAATGGCTCACTCGCTCATTCATGTATTCATAGATGTGGTTCCTGGCTTTGCAATAGTACAGACAAGGAACAAGGAGAAGTCCGGTGACAGTATAACTGGGAGACCTCAGTTGAGAGGTCTGAGAGAGTCAGATTTCCACGAGGAAGTGATATTTAGACTAACACAGGAAGTAGCTGGACAAAAGAGACAGGAATCCATGTACGTGTGAGGACCAAGATGCTGGAACATTCCAAACTGTTAATGGTCACAGTATGTGCAAAATCTCTTGAGTAGGAAGGAAGCTGGCAGATTCTAGACACTGGGTAGGAAAGAGAGATTCAGGTAGTGATCAGAGATGGCTCTGGAGGCACAGGCAGGGTACAGAGCACACAGGGTCTTGCAAGTTGAGTCAAATAAGGACTTTGAACTTGAATTTAAGATCAATGGGAAGCCACTGAAAGGTCAGGGGAGCCACACAATCAGGCTTACATTTTTAAGCATGACTCTGTCTACCCTGTGGAGGATGGATGGGAGGAGAATGCAAGAGGACATGGGGAGACAAGTGATAAGGACATAGCAGAAGTGCAAGTGCGAGGTGGTGCTTGGACCAGGAGAGCAGAGGGACAGAAGAGAAGGAGCCGGATGTGAGATACGTACGAGGCAGAATTGGAAGAACCCGGTGATGGATCGCAGGCGGATTCGTGGAGAGAGCAAGAAGACAGGGAGGTTTCTTGGGTCACTCTTGAAGAACTAGGCAGACAAAGGGGCAAAGCTAGGGCCGTTTGCTGAATTAGGCTAACTGGGAGGAAATGAGGGTTTGAAAGAGAAAGAGAAGGCAAGTGTGACATGTTGCCAGGAGACAAAAATGGAGGCGTCTGATTATACAAACAGAAGTGTATTGTAGCTCAGGAGAGAGATTAGGGCTGCAGACATGAATTAACTATGGTTTTTGGTCACTACTATGTGTATAGACAATAACAATAATTATAATAACATTCAAGTAGCCCCTCACCAAGGCAGAAAGGAAATTGATGGATCACAAGGCACAAACGCTCGCATTGAGATGCTTGATTTTCTCGTGTAACAGTATGCCGCATAACAGTACGCAACGTCAGCTATCAAGGGCTTAAATAAAATATGCCATAAGTTTAATAAACAATTATCCTTAAGATGACATCCAAACGTTACAGATGGTTCAACCAGATGGAGGGGACATTCAGGGTTTTGACCCAGGATGATTTTCCTAGCTCAGAAGTGGCCATTGTTTTTGTTTTGTTAAAAGCCAGCCTTGCTTGAATAAAGCACCTGTTGTTCTGAAGTGCATTTAAAAAAATTTTTTTTAAGTTTTATTTATTTATTTGAGGGGGAGAAAGAGAGAGAGCATGAGCTGGGCAGGGAGGGGTAGGGAGAGAATCTCATGCAGATTCCCCACTGAGCATGGAGCCCGACCTGGGGCTGGATCCCATGACCCCGAGATCATGACCTGAGCTGAAATCAAGAGTTGGACACTTAACTGACTGAGCCACCCAGGCGCCCCCCTGAAGTGCATTTTAAAAGGGCACTGGGTACGGCTTAAATAAAAAGCTACATACATACATACATAATATCCTATGTCAAAAAATAAATGATTAAATCTCTTCTAGAAAGTATAGAAAGTAAAAGAAAATGCATGACCCTTTGAGCTATCTAGTTCTACAGGTCTAGGGTGCAGCCCAAACATTTGTGTTTCTAAAAGGCTTCATAGGCGATTCTATATGAGGTGAGAGTGGATAGGAAGGTCAGGTGTCATGCACCTCGCACATAGTAGCTGTTGAAGAAATTGCACTAGGTGACATCACCCGTGCAATACTCTTGCCAAAAATGCTTAACCGTAATCTAATCACAAGGAAACAGACAAACCCAAATTTAGGGCCATTCTGCAAAACAATTGATCGGGATTTTTTTTTTTTTAATTTATTTGACAGAGAGAGACACAGCGAGAGAGGGAACACAAGCAGGGGGAGTGGGAGAGGGAGAAGCAGGCTTCCCACCCAGCAGGGAGCCCGATGCGGGGCTCGATCCCAGGACCCTGCGATCATGACCTGAGCCCAAGGCAGACGCTTAACAACGGAGCCACCCAGGCGCCCAGATCTGGCTGCTTTAAGAATGTCAGTGTTAGGGAGAAAGAAGACAATGAAGAGGGTTTGGAGGAAGAGGAAGGGAGGGGTCGAGAGTGAGAATGAGGGAGAGAGAGAAGGAGGAGGGCCGAGGAGGGAGAGAAAGAAGAGAAAAAAGAAAAGAAACAGATAGGGAAGATTATGCAATACAGAATCCTAGATTGGATCCTGGGTCTAAAAAATAAAACACAAACAGGCAAACAAAAAGCAGCTATAAAGAGCATCACTGGGACAACCATGAATATTAGAATGTGGACCATATATTAGAAAACAGTAATATATCGATGTTAAATTTTCTAAGTGCAATAGTTGTAGTTAAGTAGGAAAAGCACCCTTGCTGTTAGATTTGTGGTGATGTATGTGGGGGGGATGTAACTGCAGCTAGTTCTCAAATAGCTCAGCTGAAAAGCAGCAGTGCATGCATGCATGTATAAAATGAAAGTAATATTGTGACAAAATGTCAATGAGTTGGGATATATAGGTATGTATTGTATTATTCTTGTGACTTTCAGAAGATTTTTAAGAATTTTAAACAACAAGAAAAACACTTTTAATGCTTACAGAGCTTTATATATATATATATATATATATATATATATATATAAAGTTGAACTCATATGTAAATATATATGATATATATTTCAACATATGTATATATTTCAAAAAGAATACCAAGCACATTATTCTGTGTTCATAAACATCTAGGCACTTAATAAACAAACAAATCACTGTTAGGAGAAAAAGAATTAATTAAACTTTAAATTTTTTGTAGGAAATTCACAGAATGAAGATTTGGGGAAACATCAAGCAAGGAATGACTGTTGTCCCCGGAAAATTGGCAAAATGGAAACGTGGCTCCGTGAACAAGAGGCCCGGGGCCAGCTTCTCTGGGACAGTTCTAGCTCTGACTCAGAGGAGTTGACAAAAAGTGAGAAGAAACCACAGGCACTGGTGAGGACCAGGACAGAGAGAATCCCAGTTTTTGATGAGTTTTTTGATCGAGAATAAAAGTGCTGTTCACTAACCTAGAAACTGAGCGCATTGAAAGCTTGCTTCCCTGTAAAAGTTCTTCAGGTTAGTTTTGTATGAATTATTTGGAGGAAACCCATCACTGTCTTTTCATCTGGAGTCTTACAGTTAACAGGTTTGTCCTATATTATTAACTATGCTGCCTAACTGCCTCAAAACTTAGGGCATTTGATTGTCCCTCTTTTCGGTGGCTTGTGGGGTTCAGCTGGATGGTTCTGCTGGCCTCTCGTGGGATCTTTTATGTAGTTAAAGTCAGACGGCAGCTAGACTGGAATCATCTGAAGGTTCAACCAGGTTGTGCAGGCTGCTGGACCTGACCCCTTCCCCTATAGTCTCAGAGCCTCTTTACATGGTTTCTCCAAGTGGTCCCTCCATCATAGTAGTGAACTTTTATATCAGCCCAGGACTCTCCACAGCAAGTGTTCCAAAAGGGGGCAGCAGACCTGCCAGTCCTCTTAAATCCTCCAAATGGAACGGGCTCCCCACCACTCTCACCACATCCTATTGGTTAAAGCAAGTCACAGACCATGAAAGAGAGGGCTACACAGGGCACAAATTGCAGAGTGTGCTCTGTTGGAGTTCCTCTTTGAGACCTGCCACCACACCATACTTTTAAAAAGCAAATTAGGTCTTATAAAACAAATAGATGGGAAAGTAGATTTTATACAAATAAAAAAGAGTTTTTAAAGAAAAGTCACAGTAATACTACATTAGACACTAAGCCCACGGAAGTCACTCCTTGGGAGTTAGCGGCTTGTTATAACAGAGAGGCTGCAGGAAAGAGATGGGATAAGGTCAGGTGTGGAAGGTCAAGGCGAATGAAATTTCAAAAGTTAATAAAGATCTCTTAGATTATGAGGTAGATCTTAGGACTCTTTAAGACTAAAAGGAATCCTAGAAATGTTCAGTCGCCAAAGTGACTCTATTAACAAAAATCAGATTTTTAGGCGATTTTAAGAGCTTCTTTTGTGTAAAATTAGGCTCCACTCTTAGCATAATCTAAAAATACTTGTAAGCCATTCAGAAGCTTCTAAGAATTTAGGGAAACTTTAAAACAAAACAAAACGAAAACATCCGTTTAAGCCTTCTGTAGGAAACATCTAAAAAGAAAAAAAAAATAGGGAAACACCACCCAAATTTGACATTCAGTGCATTCAGATCAGTCACTAAGAAGCCTGCTGAGTCAGGGGACAAACCTTCGTGTTCTTGAGAGGATGGAAGACACTTAGGTCATCCCTGGGCATTTCTGTTCCCACCTCCGACTTTTCTGTGGTCAGTGAGAAGCCTATTTGCTGCCATGCAATACATAAGTTGCTTGACCAGCCAGCCTTCTTGAAAAAGGAAGATCTCTGAGAGGAGAAATGAGTCCAACCCATTCCTCATGTCCTCACACATTACGGTTTACCTGGAAGAGCTTAGAACAGTTGCTGAAGAGAGCGGGGGCCCAAGCATGTCTTCATCGCTCTGGGCTGTGACTTGAGATTGGACGACACCCCTTCTCTCAGCTCCCTGGCCTGTGAGCTCCATCCGGGCACCGGCCGTGTCTCCTCCCTGTGGCACCCGCACTTCCTAGCACGACATCTGGCACAGAGTTTATTATGAAATGTTTGTTGAATTTGTTAACTTCTGTGTTAACTAGGCAATTAGAGAGGTGCTGGTTTCTCCCCAGCTATGCGGTTGTTCATTCTAATCTCCATCATTTCCCAAGACTCACAGACATACAAGGTTGATGATACAGTTAAAAAAAGGGGGGGGGATTTTTTTCAAAAGCTTTTGGAATTTATACATCTAAATGGAGGGCATAAATTAAGCATTGCCTTGGGATATTGGAGCAAGACACATATGCCAGTGAGGATGTCACAGCTCAAAATATTTTTCGAGACTCTATCCGAAGAATGTTTTCCCTGTTGGAATGTATTTGCTCGCTCCATGTGGAATTCCCCCTCACTTAATTATAAATTCAAGAATTTAAAATTATGGGGCACCTGGGTGGCTCAGTTGTTAAGCGTCTGCCTTCGGCTCAGGTCATGATCCCAGGGTCCTGGGATCGAGTCCCGCATCGGGCTCCCTGCTCGGCAGGAAGCCTGCTTCTCCCTCTCCCGCTCCCCCTGCTTGTGTTCCTGCTCTCTCTGTGTCTCTCTCTGTCAAATAAATAAATAAAATCTTAAAAAAAGAAAAAGAATTTGAAATTATGGTAATAGTGATGATAGTAATAACTGCTAGTGGGCATTGACTGCTCACTGTGGCAGTACTCCCCAAATGCTTTCTGTTTGAAGTCCTCACGGCAACTGTGTGCATCGGTATGAACATCACCCCCCTTTTACAGACGAGGACACGGAGGCACACAGAGGTTAGGTAACTTGCCAGAGTGGCCCCGCAGAGTGGCCCTCTGGAGTAGACTGTTGCCCACCAGGAGGGGCCTGAGGGGAGCCCGGAGCAACGTCCCCCTCTCCTCAATTTTACCTCGAACTCACCAGCTGCATTATGTGGCCTTCCACATTTTTTTTCTATTACATGGCGGATTTTTTGGATTTTAGGTTTTTGTTGTTGTTGTTGTTTGTTTTTGAGAGGGATAATACTACCCTGAAAAGGGAGAGAGCTCTGTAGGATTGTTTTTTAGCAAGGAAGCGTTTCCTTAGAGCCTGATAGCTTCACCGTGGGCACAGGACAGGATAAGAACGCCTGAGAAATAGCTCGGGAGGGCAAGTTTCCAGGAGTGAGGAGAGGGACACACAAGGGCAGAGGAGAGGAGAGCCAAGACAAACTTGCTTTCTCCACCGTTTGGCTGGGGAGCAGGACCGTGCGCAACCCCACCAGATGCCCCATCCAGGATGGGATTCGGTAGCACCCTGTGGCAAGGGCTGGAGCGCAATGCTTCTCAATGCAGCCACGGGTTAGGTTAGAATCACCTGACAACCAGAAAACTAACAGCAATGAGGATTAATGGGCCCACCTTCCCATTTACCTGGGCTGGGATAGAACTCTGGCATTGGGTTGGTGTTTCCTTTTTAAGTTCCCAAAACCCAACCAAAGAGGTAAAAAATCTGTACTCTAAAAACTATAGAACACTTAGGAAAGAAATTGAAGAGGACACAAAGAAATGAAAAAACAGGGCGCCCGGGTGGCTCAGTCGGTTAAGCATCTGCCTTCGGCTCAGGTCATGATCCTGGAGTCCTGGGATCGAGCCCCAAGTCGGGCTCCCCGCTCAGCGGGGAGTTTGCTTCTCCCTCTGCCCCTGCTTATGCTCTCTCTCTCTCTCTCTCTCTCAAATAAATAAATAAAATCTTTAAGGGAAAAAAAAAAAGAAATGGAAGAACATTCCGTGCTCATGGACCGGAAGAACAAACATCGTGAAAACGTCTATACCACCCAAAACAGTCTACATATTCAATGCAGTCCCTATCAAAATACCACCTTTTTAAGTTCCCAGGTGAAGCTAGGGTGCAGCTAAGGTTGAAAACTACAGCTTGAGCGGTACGAACATTCTATTTTACCAGCTCTATCAACTTCTATCTTTAAAAGCAACAACTTCTGAGGTAATTTTTCAAAGGTAAGGACATGAAGCCTGGAGCTCCACAAACAGGAAGAAAATGTCCGCTTTGTTGGTGATTGTCTGAGAACACCAGTCCTTTACTTAATCTTGAATTTGTTGGGGGGCAACGTAGGGCCATCAGTAAATACAGCTATTGTTGGCAAAAATTATAAAATTCAGCCTGGAGGCAAAGTTGTCAGTTTTCTTCAACTGAAAATCTCCTGCTTTGGAAAAAAAAAAAAAAAAGGCTTATCTATGGCTTAATGCATGCTTTCTCTTATGAAAATAGTATTGTCCTTCTTGCTCTGAATTTTTTATGAGAAAGAGAAATGCCCCCTCTCCTTTTTTTTTTTTTTTTGTATCCTTTTGGAAATATGCTTTTTTTTCAAAAATTTTTTTTCAGGTAGGAAGCCATTTTTCTTCATCTGTCTCTTCGGAGGATAATTCTGGGTTACTATGCTGGGATTTAACTAAAGATGACTCTTGCCAAAGTCATCTGTGAAATAGTCACGTAAACAAATGGATACTGTTTTCTGCTTGCTCAGAGCCTTTAAAAAAGGAAAACAAAACACCAGCTCTCCAAACCACTCCCTTTCCTACCAGGACAGCATACTTATCATCAAATCATTATTCATATCAACTATTTTCTGCCTTGAATGAACAAGGAAAGCCTATTTCCACATAATACTGCAAAAGGTCACTAACTTAGAATATTCTAGGGAAGCCTGGGAGAAGGTGGGCTAAGGGATAGGTTAGGAAAGGTCAGACCACTAAAAATCTGGATTACATCTCATTTTTAAAGAAACACTATTTTATTCAAGTACAGAATAAGCAAAAACACATCTGAAAACTCAGATAACAGTTAAGGTTTATTTTTAAGTGTATATTTCGTAGTAAGTCTGCAAGTCATTCATACATTCATTCATTCATTCATTGAATCATGCATTCAACAAATAGGTTTTGAGTATCTACTACATGCCAAGCACCATTCCAGATGCTGAAAATATAAGCCATAAACAGGACAATGTTCTGAGGCCCATGGATTATGTTCCAGTGGGGAGCAGACAGTCAAATACACGATACAATTTCAGGTCATCTTTGAAGAAAAATGAAGCAGGTAGGAGGGTGGCATGGATGGAGTGGACTGTTGCAAGCAGGTGCTCAGGGAGGGATGCTCTGAATGAAGGGGGTGGTGTGAGCCATGAGAAGCCTGGGGTGGGGGGAGAGCAAGTACAAAGGCCCTGAGGTAAGAATGAGCTGGTAATGCGCAAGGGCCAACAGAAAGGCCAGCATGGCAGACGGAGCAAAGAGGAGACTGACAGGGATAACCTCAGTCAGAAAGGTCATCAGGGCGCAGATGGAGGGGAACCCAGAGGACCACAGCATGATGATGAGTTTTAAGTGTAATAGAATTTCAAAGGCAGAAGGGCTTGGTCCTAATCTAGAC